CCAGATTCATCTCCCTCAGTTTCTTTGAAGTTCTGACTTCACACAGCACGAGCTCATTACTTTGTGCTGCCATTCTGAGGCTTCCTCTTCTTTCTTTTTCTTGGCCTCCTCTAGGAGTGCAATCTTGGCAGTGAATTCAGCAAGTTCTGCTGCCTGAAACAAACAAAAAAAATGAAGTAGAAGTTTTAATTTTGTATCAGTTTGGCCTTACAGTGGAAGAAAACAGAGCCTTCGCTGTGATCCGACTTGAATTAGTTACCATCCGTCACCTGTCTGCTAAAAATAGAAATTTTAAGCATACACGACAGTGGGAATGAATCAGTACTCTTGCCTGATGGAAATAAGTTTAAAAAAAAAAAAACAAAAAAACAAAACACACAAAACAACAAAAAAAAAATCCAAAGATCGCTGTGGAAGAGCTAGCTGTAGTTACAGATTAGCATGTGGGGCTGTTACAGCTTAATACAACTTTAAATGGTTCCACCAATAAGAACATGATTTTGGATTGTGATCTTAGTACTACTAAGCTGAATCTTGCCTTCAGAAATGCGTGCTAAGTGTACAGAAGATCAAAAGCTATTTTTATAGTTGAAAAATAATTTCTTCTGTTATTTTTTTCACATCTTTCTCAGTTATTATACGTAAATGTTGAATTAGGAGTAGTGTAGCACAGAATGCGAGAAGATATTGTAATGCTGGAAACAGAGGGGGGGGAAAAAAAAAAAACACCCCAACAAACCACAGCGTCACCAACTCCCCACCACCACCATCAAGCTTCAGAACAGACCTGCCTCAGAGAACAGGCTTCCCAGTGGACTGCAGAAGGAAACTACTCTTGTTCTCAGCTGGATAAGCCTGACACTATTAGAAAGAAAATGTAGTGAGTGTTGTCAGTCTGAGACCTCTATTTCATCATTTAACTTCCTATAGCTCCAGAATTTTCTTTCTTGCAAACAGTGGCAAATCTAACATGGGAACTTTTTAGAAAACTACATCTGTAATGACACTTCACATTTTATCTGTGTTTCAACTTACTTGTCCATTTGACAGAATAGATATAACTAAGAATATAGGCTAAATTTTCAACTATCTTTTCCAATTTGATTCAAAATAGAGTTAAAGCTTCTTACTAGCTGCTCCTGGTTTTTCATCTGATCAGCTGCCTGCTTGGCTAGAGCAGCTTTAGCTTCTTCAGCTGCTCGACGCTCTCTCTCCAGGCGCTCCGCTTCCTCTTTTGCACGCTTCCGCTCCTGATCCAGTTCTAGAGCTCTTCTAGTCTGCTCCTCTAGCTCTGCCAAAAGGAAAGGTTGCAGACAAGATATCACTGCCTCGCTCTTCCTACCACGTCACACAGGTAACGGCTGGACCATGCTCAGAATGAAGTCACCTAGAAAGCTGACAAAGCCTTACAAAGCTCCCTCAAGCTAAGAGGATGCTACCTGAAGCTATGCTCCATGCCTGATCTCTTCCCCCTCTTCAAGACATCCCTGGGACAATTCATCTCACCCGACAGTTCTCACAGCCCAGTGTTTCAGATTATACACGTGCACATACATCCCCACTCTTACTACCGAGGAGAATTTATATACATTAGATCACTCTCTTGAACACTAAAAAAGGAAAAAAAACCCTACCCTACTCTATTGAAATGCCTGCCAAAGGTTCCACACACAATTTAGGTGTGTGCCTCCAGCAAAATGAGCTAAGACCCGCTGGAAGGGTCAGACAAATTCTCCATAGAAGAGAGCCAAAAAGGTGCAAACAGGAAAATTTTAAATCAAGGGAAGGATAATAGCTGTCTAGTTGCCTGGCTAGCCGAATATTAAAATCTAAAGGGCAGAACCCTAAGTGAAATAGGAAGAAGTAATAATCTACGAGGCCTGCAAGGCAAGATTTGCACATGCAAAATACACTGCTCTGATGTGTGAGATGAGGCAACTATGAAAAAAAAAGCCTTTCTGAAGCTCCTTGCTGATTCTAACGATAAATTTTCCACTATGTTTTTGTCTAGGCACAGCTGCCATAGACTCCTTCACCAGAAAAAACAGCTCAGTTGTTGGACCAATCCATTTTGCCCTTCATCATATGCTTTCACACTAAAAGAGCATCTCTCCCCCAGGTATGCTGACACACACTTAATCTTTGCACTCGTAGTTTCAAGTAGGTCTCATGTAATCAATATTCTTCATCTGACTTCCCAGGCCTACTACTTCAGTTATGAAATTAAATGAACAGCTCTACAAGTATGTGGAGTTGTACAAATGCAGTACTTGCAAAAATCAAATAAAATGCATAAATATTTAAAAACACTACTCAAACAAAATCTGCTCATGACAACGGAGAACACTTAACTACCAAGTCAACTACAGAACAGAGACACCATTTATATAACACTTTTCCATATGTGAACAGAAAGCTAAGAAGACCAGCAACACATGAACATTAGGTAGTATGCATCAGGAATTAGACTATATTGCTTATAAATGTTACACTTGGAGACTTTTAAGACCCATCTGGATGCGTTCCTGTGTGACCTGCCCTAGACTAGATGGTCCTGCTCTGGCAGGGGGGTTGGACTCGATCTCTGGAGGTCCCTTCCAACCCCTAACATTCTGTGTGGTTCTGTGATATGTACATTGTTAAAGCTTTGGAATCACCCCGACACTGTTTTGTCCCGGGCGGAACAGCTCTTCTTTGAACAGTTCCAAAGTCATGTGTTCACGTGTTACTAGTCTGGATGTGTCCAACCTGTTCTGCATTGAAAGACTGAAAAATGTGGGGGCAGAGCTGGAGCCAACAGCCTGAAGCAAACAGTTATGAGCAGAAGAGCGGAACAAAACTTTTACAAATGTGAATCAAACCTGAAGAAAAAAAATAACATGGAGAGGAGGGACTGGGAGGTAGCGGTAGCAGGGACGCCACAGCGCAGTTCAACGCAAAGAAGTTCGATTGATGAAACTACGTTGATTCACTAAAATCTGACAAGACTTTAAATTTAGGATTCTCAAATCTTACAAGGGAATAAGAAAACAAAGGAACAAAGAATTTCAAAATGAAAAGCTAAATTCTACAAAATCCTAGAGGAAGCATTTTGAACTTTCCTCTCTAATTTTCCTGCTCCTTTCAACTCCAGGTTTTCAGCACTTTAAGTATTTCCTAACTCTGAGCTGAACTGTGCATACATTAATTTAATTTTTATTTAAGAAAATTTAAACTCTTGTTCTATTAAGAATTTGGCTTATATTACACACATACACATGCTAACTTAACACTGAGAAAGAATCTCAAATTATACACCACTAAATTCTTGTTATTATTAAACTAAAACAAACAGAAACAACAACTACAAAAAAAAAAAAAACGTACCACACACACCCCGAGAAAACTGTGGAACTGAACTAAACATTCTCATCAGATTTAAGAAATCTAGGACCAATAAGAGCTCACCTTTCTGGGCTTTCATTGTTTGTTCCTCAATTTGTCTTAAGCGTTCCATTAATTCTTCCTTTTCACGCTCTATTCTTTCCTTTTCCTTTTCTGCTATCTCCCTTTTCTTTTTCTCATTTTCTAACTGTGCCCTGAAAAAAGAAAAAAGTAAAAGCTTTTTTAACCTCAGATTAAATTTTACTCTAAGGATGCTGGTAGTCTATTTTTCAGCTTACTCAGCTAGTAGAGAAGCATGTCATTTTAAATGTTTTAAATTCAGTTTATAATGCAAGAACCATCAAGTTTGTGTTTCAAAATACTGTACAGAAAAACAATTTACAACTAGAACTGACTAGCAACCTTGGTTACGCTTCAGCCAAGCAAACCCACAATTGTACCTGCATTTTACATGTGGCTGATGTTTCCCTGAGCTAGCAAAGCAACGGTATTTTTAAAATATACGAAAGGTAAGCCACGACATTCTTCACTGAATTTGCTTTAAGGGTTCACCTGTAGAGCAATAGAGGTCTCTAAGGATCAAGGAACAGAGAGTTAAGACTCTTTCACAAGAACATAATGAGAAACAGCAGTACAGCTACTATTACTGCTCTGAAAGCTCAAAAAAGATACAGCTTTCTACTAAGAGAGGTGAGCCATGCCAACCCACAAACCTGCTTACAAACTACAGAAAGAAAAGCAGCTCTCTCTTTTCTAGAATGCCAAGATGTCTGATATTCTACAACTTTGTTTTCTTAAAAGGGTAGAAGAATATTTTTCTGTTTCATGGAAGTTTGTTAATTACCTTTCCAATTGTTTCTGATGTTTCTCCTCTCTAGCTTGGGCCTTCATCTGCTGCACTTCAATTGTATCAGGTTTCCTCCTCCTCATGTACAATTCATGATTTCCCATACACAGTGCCAAAATTCGCTTGTTGATTCTCAGACGAGGTGCATAAAAAACAAAATCCTAGAAAAAAAAAATAATTGCAGCATATTCATTAATCTAAAAAAAACAGTTGTGACAAGACTCAAAGCATTACTGCAGGTTTGCATTTGTTAAATTTAAAAACTTAGAAGCATTTTGACATTCATCCTTTGAGCAATCCAACACCATAAGCTGTAAATCTATTTACTGATAAGAACTGGTAAGGTAAATTCAGAATTACACCTGGATTTCTCCACGTAGAGGTTAGCTAGTTTACATAAAATTATTTAAACTCTCCAAAAAGATGAGACTATTCTATACACTATTTCTGAAAACTTTTAACCTAGAGAAGCTACCCTCTTACGCTATGAGGCTTTTCAACACAACACAAAAGGAGTTGAATTCAATTTTAAAAACAATAAAAATCATAAAATCTCTTTAAGACTATCAACAAGAATGAAAAGAGAAAATATACATACCATACTTCAAAATCCAAATTTCCTTTTCATTAGTGACTGTTCTACCCATAAGAATAATTATTGTCAAAAAATATTTGTTCAATGCCATAATGCCAAAGCAAGTCCCTGCAGGTTTAAGTCTCTTCACATACAAAGGCATACTATCCTACACACTACTTACAGGGGCCTTTTTGTCAATTGGCTTTATGACAAATTTTTTGTCGTTAAAAGAGATGTTTCTGATTTCACTCCAAGGAAAACCAATCTTGGGTGTCAGCCTTCAAAAGAGAAAAAGTTCTCATTAGAAGCAGCTAACATGTGCATTTTATTTATGTTCACTAAGTCTTAACTCCACACTATTTTCACTATCACACTTAAATTTACAAAATGTAACAACAGTCCAAACTTATCTTGGTAAACAATTGTTTTCTTTTTCTACACATTCCATCAAACAAATAAATCACATAATTAATAAATTACATGATACTGTAACAGAAGGAATTTCTATTTGTGACTTATTCTACAACCATTATATAGATGCTAAACATCATAATCATGCATTGATACTTTATAAGCTATCAATAGTTTCATTCTGAGTGAAAATAACTATTTAAGTTTGAGAAAAGTCTAACATTTCAAAGACAAATAAAATCAGCCTTCAGCAATGTTGTACTTCAGTTTAACTCAGATGTGTTCTTGTATTTCCAAAGTTCAAGTTAAATTTATTTCCCTTGCATCTTAAGTAAAATAAAAGCAGTTCACACTGTTACAGTGTTATGCACCATGTAACAGTATTTTTCTCCATGAGTAAAAAAAGTTCTTTATATTATGTTAACTACAAGCATTAGAAAACAAGTTTAAAGTATTTGATTGCTAAAGTTAAAGAATGTCAAAAATTTGCTGATCACTGAATCTGATCTGAACATTTCCTGTGCATTTCCTTCTTTCAGGAGTTATATTGCCATCTAATGGCAATTAAGGCTCACAGAATTTTGTTCCAGAGTACACCCAAAGAGCATTAAGTTGAAGTTCAGTTGACAGCTGTTACCTCATATTGGACACAGGTTTAACTTCAAATCACTGTGAAGAGACTGTTGATGTCAGATGCTACTAACAAGTGTTTGGAAAGAAATAAAAGAATGTTGTTCTGTTTTCAGATTCTTTGAATTTTGTACATTTCAGCTTTATCCCTCTTGAAGTAGGACAGAATATTTCATCTGTTTTTCAGGACTGTTTTCTTTGATGTCTAAAGGCTTTTACTTTTAGATACCAAACACTTCCCTGCTCTAGCAGCTGTAACAACCCTAGTCACTGTTCATACAAAAATGCTTCTCATTAAATATGTTGCTCAGCTTCTCAATTTCCTTTTCATCCTGATTGAAGAGGAAATCTTGAGGGAGTGAAAAGTACAGAAAGAAACCATATAAAGATGGCCTAGCTATCATAGATCCATAGTAAGCAATGTAAATTTACGTTTTCACAGAACTGCTCTTCTTTTCCCTTCTTCTGTATCCCCATTTGAACTTTAAAATTCAAATATTCTTGCAGTTAGCATCTGTCTCTCTTGCTATCTTTTACATAAATTAGAAGTTGTTTGAGAACCTGTTTTGCTAGATGTTATTGAACATGCAATTAAGTGGTTTTTATATAATCTCAGATAGGATCTCCTAGTACAGAACTGTAAAATGAGTATTAGCCACTTACTTGTCATCATGCTCATAAATATTCAGACCCAAAGCATCAACTCCTAGCCACAGTTCAGTTCCTTTCTTATTCTTTATTTCAAAATAGTTGACTCCATACATTTCCAAGTCTTGTGCTATCTTAAGGTATTCCATCATAGAATCTTCCCTGATGAAAAAAAGAAAAAAAAATGGCATAGTGTAAACAAATCAAAAGCACGTTATAAGAATAAGTGGACTGTAGAATAATTAATTAATGTAAAATTTAGTTAGGAAATAAATCTCTCTTTGAAATTCATGCGTGTGTACATTGACTCAGATCCTTGTAGAGCTCTACATCCTACTACCCAAGTACAGTCAAATCATCACACTTTGTCTTCTCCCTCCAGGAACTAAGGAAATACTAAATATATTTTAGAGGTAGGCAACCGCAGATAAAGGCAGTTGACAAGCTTACCAGAAATCACACAGGTAATCCAATAATCTAACCAGAAAAATGAACTCTCACTGAAGCTTTCATGGAATTTTTGATAACCACCTGCCCTGATCAGAATAAACGCAAGTAGTTTCCAAACAAATATGCCACCTCCCATCCTGATAACAACAAAAAAAAACCTTAAAGGTCCGAGAACACTTTTACAGAAATTACCTTAACATTCCCCTGTGCTCTTCATGCCAGTTCTGTATTCTTTCTTCCCACTGTTCTTTTGTCAGTTTGTGCTGTTCTAACACACTGCAAGTAGAAGTTGTTGCTATTAGATAACACTGACAACCACTTTAGCCTCTTAAAGTTACAAAAGTAAGTTTGGTTATAGAGCATAACGTATGTTTTAACTGAACAAAACTACGTATTACTTCCTATACACTGCTCATCTTTTTAACCCAGACAGAAAAAATCTGCATTTCAACAAATAGGCTTTCAAAATAGTGTGAAATCACTTTTTTATGGTATTCTATATACTCTTTGTAGTATAAAAGCCATGCCATGATGTATCTCAACTTCAATAACATCATAAAAAGTAATGTTTAGAACACCTGAAAAAATGCAAACCTATATAATCTTCATATGACTGTGTTGCAAATTAATCTCTAGGTATGCACAGATACTCCCAGGTTTTAATTCTGCAGTCATTTAGAAGAAAAATTAACACCTTAACCTAAGTTAGCATATTACTTTGTTGGGGGTTCTGATTTTTTCTTTTTTAATAAATAAAATCAATAGTGAAGCGGTTTCAGAAAACTATTTGAGGCGTATCTACTGCAATGATAGAATTGTATTTTGACCTACTGTAACCTGGAACAGAATTGGAACAGGCTGCCCAAGGAGGTGGTGGAGTCACCATCCCTGGAGGTGTTAAGAAAAACATGCAGACGTGGTACTTCAGGACATGGTTTAGTGGTAACGGTAGCGTTGGGTTGACAGTTGGACTTGATCTTAGAGATCTTCTCCAACCCCAATGATCCTATGATTCTAACTTTGATGCAGCACTGCAGTAAGAAATCAAATGCATAAGATAACTTTATTAAGCTTTTACTACATGCACTTAGCATTTCATCCCTAGAGAAATTATTTTAAAGGACAATTTTAAAAAATAAGAGACTGGAAAATATTACTGAAGAAGGCAGAACAGTTGTTTTCCTTACTTTCTCTTAGTAAAGGATTTACTACTTTTCCCTGCCCTTTCAGCAAAGTACAATAAAAAAGACTGAATGATGCATAACACAATAGTGCAGTCTTCTGTTACAGGATCTTTCTGCCACTTGATTTGCTGCTCTGCCTCATATCTACTGAAGTGCACTTTTCAGTGGTAGCCGTATCACACTTTGATTTGCTTAGTGTACATCCCTATCAACAGGCTTTCTTCCTCAAAAATGAGGCAGAGATTTCAGTTTTTGCACCTGCACAAAGCTGAGGTGTTCACAGCCAACCGATACAAGAACATGCAGCAACAAGACATCAGTTTTCTTTTGTCTTCTCATCTTTAGCCTTGAATATATGCCCTAAATATAATACTTAGAGAAGCCTGTTATAGAACACACACGGCAGAACCGCCTGCTTTGGCTGCAATAATCTAAAAGCATCCTGGCCATCATTTACAAGTTTCTGTTACTTTTCTTAAGTCCTCTAGGACTACGTTAACTTATTAATGAAGTTCTGTAATTAAACTGGGTCTGACTTTCACATTGTGATATTTACATTATGTGCTGCTTTCCACCATTATTTTTTACTCCTCCAGCAGATACTCAAAAAATGTTCAAAAAAGCTTTCACATCAGTATAGCAAAGCTAGCCATGAAAAAAGTGAAGAACAACACAGGATATTGTGCAATATGGAATCCCAGGATTATGTCACACAAGTGCTCAGCTGAATACAAAAGCTCTGCTCCCAACCTCTTCACAGAATCACAGGACAGTTGAGGCTGGCAGGGACCTCTAGAGGTCACCATGTCCACCCATCTGCTCAAGCAGGGTCACCTACAGCCAGCTGTCTAGACAGCTTTTTAAATATCTCTAAGGAGGGAGGCTACACAAGCTCTCCAGGCAACCTGTGCCAGCGCTCAGTCACCCTCATGGCGACTTCTGCTCTCTTGGCCTTTCCAAATTAAGTAAAATTTCTGCTTCTACAGAAATTCTTCATGCTTTCTTCTTTTTGAATTGGAGTTGAAAGACACGAGGCAATGAGCACAAGTGAAACACTTGAACATCATTTTTTATTTTCTCTCTTTACTGTGGAGGTGGTCAAACACTAGAACAGTTTGCCCAGAGATGCTGCAGAGTCCATAGAAATATTCAAATCTCAACTGGAAAAGGCCTTGAGGAACATGCTGTAATTAGAATATTTCAGTGGGAAGTTACCTACAACAATTATCTAAGTCCAACTGCCTGACCAACTCAGGAGGGCTGACCAAAAGTTAAACCACATTACTAGGGGCACTGCCCAAATGCCTCTTAAACACTGCCAGGCTTGGGGCGTCGACCGCGTCTCCAGGTGACTCTGCTTTGAGTGGGGGGACTGGACTAGATGATCTTCAGAGCTCCTCTTTCAACTTCAAACGATTCTGTGTTTCTATCATATCCTTAAACTGGCAATGTTTTTGTCAACAGCCACCTTGTCATTTGTTCCCCTTCATTCTCTCGTCACATGCTGCTGCTGAAACTTCACTAGCAAATATGCAAGGACAATTGCAACAGAGGAACTCAGCAAGTATCTGATGCTTTGTTGCTACCCAGCCCATAGTTTTGAGCCAAGAAATTACACAGTAGTTTTGACAGGTGAACATCAAGACTCTACAATTAAGGGGAACTGCAAATCTTCTCACCTTTTTCAGTAGTATTTTGCAAAGCTACTCTGCTTAGGGAAGGAAATGTTTCTGACATTATATTGTACACTGTTCTGAAGTATTTTTATGATGTATGTGTTAGCTTTCCCAGTGACAGGAGGCAAAACAGGAATAATTGTGTTAGAATGAATACAAAAGCTGTTTGCTCACTGTGTGCAGACAGGCACACAACTAGTTGAAAGCATATGCTTGGAAATCATCTGAACATTTGCCATGAAAAGGAGCATCCTAAGTATTTGAATTTGTGTCATACACAAGCACTACAGTGTTCACAGGCTGTCATCATAACTGAGCAAAAACCAAGATTTGTGAACTAACATAGCCAGTAATGACAGTTTTACTGGTTCTACAAGGTTCTCTCCTTGCCTTCCTAACAAAGGGTATTTTTTCTAGAAAGAACTACTAGACTTCATTGTCACAAGAAGGAAGTAAACAGCCAAAACCAGAACTCCTAGACAGGATATTTAAAAGTCTGAAATATTTTCAGAAATACTAATTTCAATACTTCACCACAACCCTTTGAAATGCTTTTTTGCTTGCTCGAAGATCAGTTACACTAGTAAAGTGTTTCTACTTTTAGTTTTCAAGCCAAAGAGACAAAACATATGACTTCTAAATAAAATTATTCCACGGCTCTCATTTCTTTGAAGATGCATTAATATTACATATTTAGTAAGGAGACATCTGTCCCCAACGTGTCACAGATTCATCTACACTAACAGAACAGTCTAACTTTGTACATCTGTGTTGCAATGCTTTTCTTGCTGCTGAGACACGCCAGGAGCATGGTTTCAGTTGCGTAAAGAAACAGAATTATCACCTTGGTGCTTAACTTTTCCCAGCCAATAAGATGAGTGACTGATACAACAGCTTATACTCAACAGCAATGACAACAATTTAGTTTCTAAAGTTTCTGTCCAGGCTAGTATTTTTCTGCAATATATTGTATTTGCAATATGCTTTATAGCTACTTTCAGAAAATTATCATCATTTCAATGTACCAAAAAAAAAAAAAAAAAATCAAGACCTGAAGGGGTATTAAATGAATCTTAGTGACTTCTATAGTAAGTATTTTGATCTTAACTGAGGAGAAGCAAGCCTCCAGGAATATCTGAGTACTTTGGAAATTTGTTCAACTAAATCTATGCACCTGGTTGTGGCCAGGACAGAAAACAGGTCTCAAGAAACCCCTGGCTGTGACACTCACCTTGTTATTCAGTCTAAACCAGTATCTCTAAATTTTTTTTCTAGCCGAATATGCACTTATGAAAGCAACCATTAAATATACATTATTACTTAATATTTCAATTATAAAAAATGTGCTGTAATCAAGTTTATATGCAGCAGATGATGTAAAAATAGTCTCACTCACCGCTGAGGGAGAAGTCTGTCATTGGCTAGGTAGCCTAGTTTGTGTATCTCCTTAGTGTAGTCTCCATACTTGGACTGGACAGCATAAGAAGCCAGAAGAACTGCAGTTTCTGGTGGGCAATATATTTCATCATTTAAGATTGCTTCTTTGACTTGCAGGAAGAAAAGTCTCTGAGTTATTTCCTGAATTAATTCTTCAGATACATCCTCTGGAAAAAACTTGGCCCTGAACTTAAACTGCAAAGGATTTTCTTTCCTTACATCTTGCTGTGTTACCTGAGGGAGAAGTAAAAAGAAAAATAGCACTAAATGGTATGTTAAATATAATGCATTCAGTAGTAATGTACTTTTTAGCTTCTCTACATTGAAATCCAGTGCTTCCTGACAAGCCAGGCCACTGTGGAACTCACTACAGGTTCACATAGCAGTGAATCAAATATACCAATCTTGATAAATCAGACAATTCTGAAATACTACTCAAAGGCTGTTTAGAGTCATGGGTTTGTGTGTTTTGTGGGTTTGGGTTTTTTTTTTTTTTTGTTTGTGCTGGTTTGGGGTTTTTTTTTTTGGTAGGCTTGTGTGAATTTTTATTTATCACAATAAAGATCTACGAAAAAAGTTGTAATACATAATTTAAAAAAAAAAAACAAAAACAAAACAAAACTATTTCCAGAAATAAATTGCAGGAATTAACAAATCAGGGTCTAAAAAGGTTTCTTTAGCAAGAGCTACAACACGTTTCTTCAATGTAAGCATAAAGATGGACTCTTCAAAAAGTCCTTGAACTACTGAACTAAGTACATGTGCTTTGTTCCTGTGCAAAACTCATAATTCCATTAATCATATTTTTCCAGAATGGATAAACCTTATAATCACGATTTCTGTGAATAGATCAGATACGGTCATCTTAAGTTTTGTCTACTTCAAATTTCAACAAAAAAAAAAAGCTCATTTTTATGCAGAATTTTCAATTTCCCCATGGGCTCAGCTTGCAGCACTTATGACTAAAGCAAAAACAATCAAAATTAAACTATTTTCAACATCAAATAATACCGTGATTGTTAAAAGGTACCCCTATAATGAAATAAATTTCATACATCTCAATTCCTTAAGCACTTTATTACACATTTAATTTTATGTGCACTAGTAGTCCCTCTAAAACTTCCACACTCTGCATGAAATGATGCATCTATTTCATTGACTTGTACAAAGTACCAAAAACTGTAAATATAATGCAACCATTTAATTATGTACTTAAGGCAGCATAAGTACTATATTTAACATGTCAGATGTCAATTTTAAGTTTTGCTCACTCTTCATCATTGTCCATCTGCTTCTGCTTTACAGAGTATTTCACTTTAATCTTACCAGTGAATGATTAGTTGTGCTCATCATACTAAAACCTCATTTGCACACCTATTCTGTGATTTATCAGATCTTACCTATATTTACCTCAAATATTTAAATAATAGCTTACAAGTTAAAGCCAGTTTATGATGATCTTATTTAAGAATTAAATGTTACAAGCTTTAAAAAAACCACCCCACACAGATAACTGCCTTGGTCAAATCTAAGGGAAATTAGTACACCCTTGCTGCTCCTGAACTGCACCAGCAACTTAACTTGCTTCAGACTTTCACAGAGTAATGTCTTCTGTATTTTTTGTAAATCATGTACTAAATCCTGTAGTCTCCAAACACTGGGCACAAGCCATTAGGGCTAACAGCATATTTGTAGTACTACAACATTTGTGTATGAAACAAGACATACATGAAACTCCAGGAGATAGCTTTGATGGTTAGCAAGCTTAACTCCCTGGATTTACTACAGGAGAAGATTAAATTCAGACAGTGGGACTCACTCCTAAAAACCTCTCAATTTACCTCCTAATACTGAAGATAAAAAATGTATTCTTAAGTTGAACTCTAATATTGTCTGTCAGGTTATTAATTAAAAAAATCTTTATTCTAAACAGTGTAAAGTTAAAAGTAACTATTCAACTTCATTAATCAAATTGAAACTATATTGACCTGATTCCCAATAGCTGGGAAATAGAAAGTTCTCAGTGCTGTTGGTGAAAAGCAGAACAAAAATTACCCTACCACCTACCAATGAGACACCTAAACAGAAGTTTAGGAGCCTCTTATTGGCCTTCTTTAAAGATCTATAGCTGTATACATGCAAATTCCTAAAGCCCAAATACTTCAGACACACAGACGTCTCAAGTTTAAAACATTTATTCTATTATATTTTACTACATGAAAACAGGACAATCATATGAGTTTCAATTTTCCTAATGCATGCATGAAGATGGTACTGGAAATACAGGAAACAGTATCTCCTTGTCAAATTAAATGTTGATGCAGCCCTCCATATTCTTTTATAACTAACCAAACTTAACACTATTTTATCATTTAAACCAAATGAAAAGCAACTTTTCACCTAACTATGAAGTTAATTATATCACATCTACAACATTAAATCAGAAAGCCTTATAAAAGTATGTTTCAAACTGTACATTTACCTAAACATTAGGGTATTGTTACCTTTTTATTTAGCTTCAGCCACGTTGAGTAGCCTTTGCTGTCCACATACTGCAGCCCAAAAAACCAGACTTCACGAAGACCAACAGTTTTCACTACCTGAAGATAAATGATTCATAATCATCAATAATCACTACAACAGGATTTTCTTTAATAGCAATTAAGCTACAGAAACCACTTCAAAACAAAAAGCAATCACGTTTTACGAGAACAAACAAAAAAATATTTTAAAAGAGTAGCAAAACAATGGGTTCAGGGAAGCATTCACTGCAGAGTTCTAAATAAACTTAAACACTGAGCCACCAAACTACCACCAGCTGGCATGTCCTGTTTACTGTGCACATCAAAGTCAGCACCTGAAGGTAGCCAACAGTACCCTGATACTTGAAAGCACCTCCGGGAAGTGATCTGCAGACCTACAGACAAGTAAAGTCCCCTTTGAAAGACGACAACCAGTGAAACTATAATAAAGAGTAGCACCTGTGGACAAGTATAAAGTAATGAGGATAAAATCACCTCCTTCAATGTTTTTGAGATCTTCTAAGAGTTAATGATAAAAGGGATCACGATGATCTAGCAGATAAACCATACATGCATTTCCTGTAACACTTCCCATCAGGTCTATCACCAAAGGTTACTAAAAGAAATAAAACTGTCCTTGAATAGAGAGAAGGTCTTTTTATGGATATACTAGTTAAGAAGAAAGGGGGGGAAAAAAACCCAAGCAAACTGTTTTCACAACAGACTAGTGTAACCATTAGGGAAGTCCCACAGGACTATCCATGCGGTCTGTAAGAAAGGAGGAACTAATGTGACAAAACCTGCTGCAGAAAGCCTTCCATAAAGGTCTATGAATGAACAGAAAAAAGGAAGATGAACTTCAATGGACGATACTCGATAAAAGCAAAATACTGTATGGAAAAGACAACAATTTTCATTATTCAAACAAGATTCTTGTCATAAAGGAAAAAAGCAACAAAGCTGTTATATTACTACAGACATCTATAGTATTCCCAGATCTCTAACGCTACATACGGACTGGTCATATCTGCTTGAAAAAGGATGCTGCAAGCATGGGAAACATTTCAGAAATATTGAAAAGCCTCATCAGTGACATGGAGCATTTTCTGCATAGCTAAGACAAGAACTAAAGGCTACAGCTAGAGGAATAAGAAAAAATATGACACAGGTCTATAAAACTGGCATGGCATGTAGAAGAAAAATTGAGAATGATTCTTTGCTATTTCTCATAACGTAAGAATTAAGAGAATCAACAGAAGTCATTAGGATAAGTTCAAAGGAAACTAAAAGAAACACTTTTACTACACAGAGTATAATGAAACCATGGAGCTATCTTCCAAGTCTTTTGCATAGTAAAAGTACATGTGGATTCAGTAAACAATTAATCAGAAAGGTCCAGCAAAGACTATTAAATAAGTGTAAACTCTGGCTCCAAAAGACCCAGTATGGCAGTACTTATGTGGGTTCTCAGGTTGGACCATGCTGGTAAGCTGGTTTACTGCAGGCTGTTTTATGGAAGCATTCAGATGCATGTGACGTAAATAGAATTTTACACACAGAACCTCCTCCATTTTAAAGTAGTACTATCAGGTTGCAAAATCAAGATTTTTAAAATTAGCAAATGTCACAAGACAGCTACACAAACTTACTTGTGATGCCTTGCATATTTGTATCAATACTTAATCATTTAAGTGTGCACATTTTTTCCTCCTCTACCCTTTCAAGCTCCAAAGCACAAAATGGACAATGTTCATAGATCCAACCTGATTGCTTTAGGGAGTACAGTTATTTTCTCTAGAAATCTTACAACATTTACTTTAGGAACATATGAAATAGTAAGACAAGTTTATGTTACTAGTATGGTTCTGACTAGCATTAAATTTGGTGTCCCAACACAGAAATTTCAGACCTGCTGCTTCTTTTGGCACATGCCTCCTACATGGTGATGATCAAACTACTCATGGCTTTATCAGATGACTGAGAATGCTCTTTATTTCGCAGCTGCCCAAGCTGAGCCTTCATACCTGATCAGCTCTGAGGTGCAGAAGTCAGTAAGAACTACAGATGCTCAACAGCTCTGCCCATGCCTGCAGAGACAAGTGCTTATGCTCCCGTCAAAACATTTTGCTCTCATCCACTATGGCCCTTCCAGCTCTGAAGTGCAGAAGTCAGTAAGAACTGCAGATGCTCAACAGCTCTGCCCATAATGCCTGCAGAGACAAGTGCTTATGCTCCCGTCAAAACATTTTGCTCTCATCCACTATGGCCCTTCAACTGAGATGCACATTAAATACAGACAACTTGTCTACTGCAATGCAGTTACACATGCTTGCAAACAAACACTGAACACAGCTTACACATTAGCCTGTTTTACTTCAGACTCAAATAAGGAAAGAGCATCGTCTGTCACTGCCTCTCAGTTCGAATGGAAAAAAAATATCTGAAACCCTGTATCAAGATTCGAGAAGCACTTATGCACTGCAGCAATGTCATATGAAAAACCATTACAGAATGAGAACCTCTGAGTTTGATTCCGGCTCAAAAGATCAATTAATTTGCTTCAGGAAAGTCTTCATCACATCTGGAAAAAGGATTTATTCACCATCACATCCTACAACTTGAATATTAATAGGCAACAAAAACTTCTTGGAGAAGAAAAGCAACCAGAACGATACACACGTTTTGGCAAAACATACACATAAAGACAACCTAGCAAGAATTTCACCAAGTTAGCTTCTGAAAGATCATAAGGGAGGCTTCTAAGGTATCTATAAAAGACAGTAGGGTGTAACTTGAAATACAGGAGGCAACCCTCATTTCTGATGGCAACTGCAGTAAACCAGGAGTACTGATGCTCAGTGCTAACACCATATTGAAAACAAGAAAACAACCCCCACTATTACCACAAGTGTGCAGAAACTATGCACCAAAAAGCTGTTCTTAGGAGAAGAAAGTTACAGATGCTAAATTGGGTTGGCAAGAGGACACATCTCCCCTTGGCAATTCTGACCACTGACAGGATAGACAGGGGGACTAGCAATAAATATGTTAAGACACCTTCTAAAATATGACTTTTTTTTAAAGAATGGGCTTGTGCAATAAATAAGGACTTTACTGAGTTTCACAGTGGAAGAGAAAAGAGAAAACCACAACTGTCAAATGTAGAATTCTTGTTCCCTAGCAGATGAAAATGATGAACACACAAATACAGAATGGGAAAGAAATCATCAACTTCAGAAAACACCCATTAAAAGCTGAAAAAGAACTGCTGGCTGAAAGAAAAGGACACGTTGCTCACCAAAAACACAGAGGAGCACTAGACAAGAGCTAGATTCATGGAGAGGTTATTTTCTGCATGCACTGATCAAGTCTACTATCATGTCCACCATTCCTGCATAAATCTTGAAGACCAATCCTCTCAGTAACAGTGCTAGTTAATTCTCTTTCTGTAGAGAAACAGTGTAACTTTGGTTTGAAAATTTCATGCTGCTTTTGCAATTCAGTTCAGCTCTTCATGTTACTCTGCAGAACCTCTATAGGAATTGAAGATCAGGCAGGAAACATTTCTCTCCTCACACACAACTATGCCGGTTGATTTTGCTTGACCTAACAATTTTTCAGTTTAAACTTCTAGAAGCTGACTGTAAGAGGTTGTGTGTGAAATGCCACAAAGTGAATCAAGGAACAAAGTTGAAGAGTTGTATCTTTGTTCCCTGCTTGTGAATGTCCCAATTTGGATGAACCTGATTGCCTGGGCACAAGACATTACACAGCAGAATGTCACCCCACCCAATACTGCATAGCAGAAGATAGCAAAGGTTGGCAAATGAGAATTAACAGCTTCATGCTTCTGTGCCATGGAATAACATACTTTATGTGATGGTGGTGTTGGTTAGACAAAAAGAAGGATAACCCCTTTCTTCAAGAAGTCTTTTTGAAAGTCACAAAGTCTATTCCTATGTAGAAGCTGAAGATATACTCCTATTGATATTAGAGAAAGTGGGAGGGGGTAGAAGTGTTAAGAGTTAGACAATCAAATTGCAAATGAAAATTCGTTTATCCAAAAGAAAAAGCTTAATGTTACAAAACAAATATTCTCCATATACTAAGATATTTAATCAACTCTCAAAGGTCAATTAAAACTTTGAATGAGTTCTTAAAGAACACTTGCAGTCTGCTACTCTCTTTTAATCACAGAATCATAGAGCAGTTTGGATTGGAAAGGACCTTAAAGATCATCCAATTCCAACCCTTCTGCCATGGGCAAGGAAGGACACCCTCTAGTAGACAAGGTTGTTCAAAGCCCCATCCAACCTGGCCTTGTAACACTTCCAGGGATGGGGCACCTGCAGCTGCTCTGGGCAACCTGTTCAGTGTCTCACCACCACACATTAAAGAATTCCTTCCTAACTTCTAATCTAAATCTACCTTCTCTCAGTTTAAAAAAACATTACCTCTTGTCCTATCCCTACACTAGGCCCGAGGAGTCTCTCCTTGACTTTCCTGTAGGTCCCCTTTAATTACTGGAAGGCCACTATAAGGTCTCCCTGAAGCCTTCTCTTCTCCAGGCTGAACAACCCCAACTCTGTCAGCCTGTCCTCCCAGGAGAGGTGCTCCAGCTCTCCGACCATCTTCATGGCCCTCCTCTGGACCTGCTTGATCAGGTCCATGTCCTTCTTCTGTGGGGACTGCCAAAGCTGGACACAGTACTCCAGGTGGCATCTCACCAGAGCAAAGTAGAGGCAGAATCACCTCCCTTGGCCTACTGGCCACACTTCTTTTGATGCAGCCCAGGACGTGATTGGCTTTCTGGGCTGTGAGGGCACATTGTTAGCTTAGTAATGTGGTTTAATAGCCATCATTACATACTTCATACACTTACAGAGAGAGGACAGAAACAACAGTTCTAGCAGAAACAACATTAGTGTAGTTAAACTGGTTTTGAAGAGTAACTTGAATATTTCTGCATTTTTAACTAAAGAGACACATCTCAGATCTAGATAATATTCAATTCTTAATATTTTCCAGAACACCCCACAACCCAGATAAAAAAAATAGTTCAAAGATTCTGATGGCTGACATCACATGAAATGGACGTGAGAACAACTCTTCTTAAGAACTCATTCATTTAGCCCATTTGACAAAGCCACTATCAAGTGAGAATATGTAGTCTTGATGGATCTGCAATCTATAAGCACTTTAAAGCCATCATTTTCCCTTTAGTGATCTTTAATTTAGATTTCAGCCTGGATCAACATCACTTTTCTAACACACGTGAAGTAAAAAAGTATCTACACCTTCCATTCTTTAAAATAAAAAAAAAAAAAACAAACCACAAAGCACACCAAAGATGCTAGCTTTCCTTAATGAACTTTTATTGTTACATTCATTATCAAATAGTGAAGGCTATATAAATTTCTCATACACATAACTAACAATTATAGTGCAGTTGCAACTATAATGGGATTAGACATAAAAAACACTGTTAATTTCAAAGCAGTTCTATACGTGTAATTCAGCTGAAGCCTCACTGTTAATTAACCTATTTACACAGAGCTGTCTTTGAATTTAATGCATTCCATGAGAAGCAACAAGGAAATTCAAACAGAGCATAGACTGGATAATAAGGAGAAAAACTACACAAGAACACTTCTGCTTTCTAAAACTGGCCTTAATTCCCACAATAGTTATGTTTGTACACATATATATACACCAAGACACGAGTTACCTGATCAAAGAGCTGCTTGCCTGTCGTATTGGGCTGGATGGCAAATTCCAGCTCTGCATCCATTGTAGTTACTCTGACATTGATCTACAGAAAATAAAGAAATAGTTAAAACCATACTGTAACACCATAGTGCTTCTATATGACATGATTAACCTATAAGAAAAAATATATTTAAGTAAATTCAACAATTTTAATGGTTGTGTATACACACAGGATACAACAGATATAAAAATGCAAAATTTGAATCTGCAAAAAATCTCTTATTTAGTATAAGAACATATCCAGGATAATATTTAACACTAGGTTTGAAGGTCAAACCAGGGAACAAAGTTCAAAATCAGTTTAATGGGATAACTGACTTAACTACTCAACACTCAAAGAACACCAGGATATTCAGCTACTGGGCATTATCTTTCAGAGGGCTTCTCAGATGTGTGCAGAAGAAAAGATTCCTAGTCATACACATCATTTTAAGGTATTTATACTTGGCAGTAGAAAAATACACACAGTCTCCTGCTCTGCCATTTCTAAAATTAAGAGGTTCAGCA